GGGTGGGTGGGTGCTGGGATGGGGAGGTGGAGTATGTTTCAAACACCTGGATATTGATGTAGTTTTGCCAAGGATTCATGTTATGATATCCCTAATTTGCATAAATGTATATCTGCAGGCTGACTTCATGATAGGCATTTGCCTCTGTTCTTCCTTTCATAAACGTCACTTTCATATGACTGATGAGAAGTTGGTAGCAAAGCAGTGTCAAGCTCCCCTTTCCTAGCAGCTCAACAGTGCCTGTCTCATTAAAAGCTTACTTTGTTTTCCACGTAATTGAAGGTCCAAATTCATAATTTCTGTTTCTTGCACTGGCAACAGCTAAATGTGCATTACTTGAATTGCAGTAAATATTAATTGGTCTTCAGTGCAGTCTGTAATGTTACAAGTAGTGGGTTCTTCCTTCCTCCATTTACTGGGAAAGTAGACAGGATAACTGGTTCCATTTATAGTTTCCTCATTCAGCTGCTTCTCCCTGTGCTGTTTCAGTTCGATTACTGCCTCACTCAAATGCACAGCAAGGGAGGTGACTTCCATGGCCATCCAGTGAATGATAAAGGCAAGGTTGGGAGGTGAGCCTCCTGCAGGATTATGCTTTGCTGTAGTCTTAAGCCTTTTTTTTAACACCTGCACTTAATTGAGAGAAAGCTGGGTAGTCTGCTTAGACACTGGTGGCACTTTCTTGAGATGAGATGAAACTAGCTCTTCAGCTTCACTGAAGGGGGAAGAAGGTTCACTCATGGTGGCAGAAGCTCTCTCAAAGGCTGCAGGGGAGAAACACTTGTGATGCTTTGACAGACAAAAAGCAGCCATTATACAAAGAGAAGCTCATCTTTGTGGAAAGCCAGCTCACTCCACAGGATCCTCAAGACTCTAACGAAGAAGAGTCCCCAGATTTCCATGCAGTAAAAGGATCTGAATGGCAGATACCCTTTACTTGGCTTTACAGCATTTGATTAGCTCAAGGAGTCACTCCTGCCTGCTACATCTTACCCTCCAGTATCCAAACATTTAATCTTGAAGGGCCTTGAACCTCCATTATCGAAACCTTGAAGGAGCTTTCGGGGGCTTGGTTTACTTCCATGTCTTCTAATTCTTAACTCTGGAGGTCAGCAGCCCACAGAGCAAATTCAGCTTGTGGTGTCTTTGCATTTGCCCTGCAGAGTCATGGCTTCGGTGGCATGCAGCAGTGGGGGCTCTGTCCACATTCCACCACACGGCAGTTGAGTGCTGAGTGTCTTAGTGGAGGGGGAGCTCTCCCTATGTTGCGCTGCAATCAGTTGCCTGGGAGCTTTGGCAGAAGGGAAACTCTCCCTGCGTCCTGCCTTATTTGGGCATCATGGGCTCTAGAAAAGAGGGGTGTCCCTGCACTATGCTACTCTGCAGCTGGGTAGCAGGCAGAGGTGGTGGAGACATCCAGCTCCTAGTGCATGCCCACCTACCTCAGATTCAAGCTCGGCCATTGCAACCCCTACTCTAGGCCTCCAGTACTATCTTTTCCCTTGAGTTTTCATGGCTGTCCCAGGGCATCACAGCTGCAAAGGAGGGACAGGTGAGAGCTTGACTGCCAAGCCCCATTAGGAAGATTTTGGGAAGCTTGATAATTTTTACTGAGGCATTCATGGGGGATTTTAAGAATTCCTTCTCAGTCCAGCTAATCCTGGAACACAGCATAAGACTTAAGGGGTAAAGGATTATTTTTTTAGGAATGGGAATAATTATTTCTTTTGTTGTCTAGAAGTAAACTCAAGCCTTTCTTCTCATCCTCTAAACAGGGGCCCACAGGTTTAGGACTGCCATTGGGACTGTCCTTTGTTCATGCTCTCCTTGTTAGGAATGTTATTTCTCTGTCTCTTGTGTAAGTTTAAACTTGGATGGAAAGACATTTTCAATTCCTGAATCTTCTTAAACTTCTAAGGCTAGCTTCACTTTCCCTGCATTTTTCAGGAAGGCCTTTTTGTCACTGGAAACTGATTTTCAACCCTAAGTGACCAGATTTATGAAGGAATTTACTTCATATTCTTTGCAAACTCAGAAAAGAAGGAAGTAGTTATTTTTGGCTTTGATGAAAAACATTTCATAACCTCAGATGTAAAATGGCATCCTTCATATTCACTTGCTAGTTATGGAACAAATTAGTTTCATCTGGTTTCTGGTGTTCTGCTCAAAAGTTCATAACAAGTGCTAAGAATAAATAAATGAATAAAAGTTTGGTAGGTCAGATTCATTAACAGAATTTAAGGCAAGAAAAGAACCCGCTGATCATGAAATCTGACCTCTGCAATGCAACACAAGCAAAATTCTACATTAAAGCCATAATTCTCTTTGAACTTGAATCTTTTAAAGTAGGTGAGTTCTTCAGTTCAGTTAGAAAATTTATTTCTGCAGATAGACTTAGTCCAGTAATACTGCATAATTAAAATTACAATGACAACGGCAGTATCAATTGTGTTGCATGTTAAAAACGACTTTTCTCTGAATAATGAATTCAGTCATCAGTTTTCAATGTAAAATTGTGAATACCATCAAAGAAAATTATTGCCCTGTTTTATTGAAGAGACAGTGATCCCTGGAACTAAATGGTTGGAGATGTTTCCTCTGGCATCTCTAAACCAATAAATAGTGGATGCCAGGGAGGGTATTAAATAGGAGATTGATCACTCCTTGAGCAGTGGTTTTCAACCTGTGGTCTGCAGACTATGTCTAAGGGGTCTGTGAAAGATGACCACAATCAATCAAAAATGTGTGAATACCCACACTTAGAATTTAGAGGGGTCCACACCTCCACTGAAAATTTTCAAATGAAAAAAGGTTGAAAAAAGGTTGAGGGTCTAGGGATATCCAGTTCTGTGCTTTCCTTGTATAGTATCCACTTCTGCCGCTATCAGAAACAGGGTACTGGGCTAGATGGACCATTGTTCTGACCCAGTATAGAACTCAAAGACATCAGAAATTAAAGCGTCTTAAGAACTATCTCCCTTGTATCATTCATATAATGAATGTAATCATTGTGGGAGTGGAGGGGGGTTGGATGGACATTTTTAAAGTATGTTTCGTTGAGAAATATAAATGTTTGTTTTTTCTCTTTAAAAGCACTGGCTTTCAATACAAATATTTTTAAAAAATTCAGAGAATTTATATTTTTTCTTTACACTATGAAAATCCCTATTCTTGTTCTACAGCAAAATCTGGGAGGTGACTTATAACATCTAGTTGACAATTGCACAATATTTTTTGTTTCAGAGGCAGACATAGCTGAGCTCATGATGGACTTCATTGAATGGCTGACTAACCAAGAATTTGGCCGCCAGTTTATTCTCAGTGTACGGGATGTCTTATCATGGGTTAACTTCATGAATGTCATGGTAGAAGATGGAGTGTCAGAATTGTCTGAGGAGTACATTTCCCCAGCGATATCTTTTGTCCATGCTGCATGCTTGGTGTATATTGATGCCGTTGGTTCAGGTAGGTCTTCAGTATTTAATGAAGAACGGATTAGTATATTAAAAATGTTTCCTGTTCCCTCTCCCGCTCCCTCTCCTTATTTTGCTATTGTAGCCCTCTGTGTGTATAAAGGTGCAATGGGATCTAATGCACAGTTTACACAATTGCCTCTCCTGTCATGCTAAACAGGAGGCATGATTGTGGGATCCTGTATTAGATCCCATTGCACTTTACTGTTGGAGCAGGGGAAGTCTGATCTCAGGCTCCCTCTGCACCAGCAAGAAACAAGCCACTGTGGCTGTGAGCCCCACACATCTCAGTTGAGGGTCTCCCAGCTACAGGAGCACCTCATACATCCCCAGAGCTGGAGGATCACTGCTACAGTGATCTCTCCTCCCCAGAGGTGCGGGAAACCCTGCAATCCTCTGGCCCTGCGAATTTCCTGCACTCCTGGGGTGACAGATCACCCCTGCAGCAATCCTCTTGCTTTAGGGGTTTCAGCACCTTGGAGCCCTAGGGATTGTGGCAACCATGATCTCTAGGGCTTGGGGGTTTTATGCTGGGCATGGTGCACTCCTGTGGCTGAGAGCTGTGCCAACTGATGAGGCTCCCAGCTGCAGGGCAGACAGTGCTATATGTGCAAATTAGAGCTCAATAGCAACCAGCTAGAAAGTTAGCACACACATTTGAGGGCTAACTTTATAGTTGGCTGGAGCTTTTTATTGTGTGATAGGTAATTGCTCAATACCTGTGACATGTAGAGGGGATCTATGTAACAGATACCACCGTATTTAAGTGCCCAAATTCCAAAGGTGTGGTCATCAAACCCCTACTTCCCAAAGCCTGAAGTCTTTAGACCAACTTAAGTTTTATCTGGTGCAGTTTCCTGCTCACCTAAAAGTTCTGCTTCTGTCTTAGTCAGTGCTGTGCCTGTCACCATGGACATCTACCACTTCAGCTCTGCTAGAATCCTCAACCTTGGCATTTCCCTGCTTTTCTTTTCTTGGGGTCTAGATCTAACAGGCATGTCCACAACATATCTAATGTGTCCTTGTGGGATTGGGGTTGTACACAAAATAGAACAGTGCCTGGCTGTTTCCGTTCAAAAACATGATTCGGTTCTAGTTCTTCCACAGGCACCTCAGCTCCTTGTCAGTGTATCTCTTCTTTTCCTACATGGGGTTGTGGGTCACATTGTCTCCTTTCTCCTGCTTCTTCTTTAGACTGTGTGCCTACTCCCACCTGTCTTTCTCATGGTGTCTTTTCCATAAAATTAAGCCTGAAGCTAAAACCTGCTCAAGTTAGTTTTGTGAAGTTATGAACAGTTGAAAGTAGGGTCTTACAGTGGGAAGTGTTAGTCTGCCTTAATAATAGGTACTGCCAACAGCTGTTGGCTGAGAGTAAACACAACTTTTTCTGATTTTTAATGCATCCTGCAGTAAATTTTGCTATGTGATATTTTTAAACATTTCATGCTCTGTGGAAATCAATGTTCACCAACAAACATGTTCCATGTGTATGTATCCATGTACTTTGTGCACAGACTGTGAAATGATTGTATCTAGCTATATGTGTAAAGTTTACTTTACTTCTGCATTCTTTTAATGTAGGTATATCCTGCTCAGCTCATACTGCCTTGTCAGCACGTGAAAAGTGTCTGAAATTTTTACATCAGAAGCTTTGCAGAGTTGTTGAGCTTACAGAACATCAGAAGAATGAGCTGAGGATTTATGACAGAATGAAGGAGAAGGAATTTATATGGACTGATAATTCTGTAGGAATACATCCATTTTTCATACCAAGAGGCAAGATGTTTTTGGCAGGCATTGATGTCAAGTTTGTTTGCTGTTTGGCTGTTTTGGGTTTTTTTGGAGGGGGGGGATTTAATGACTTACCAAGTACTAACCCATAACAAAGGCACTATGATTATAATTTAGAAAGTGTTGTAAAATCTGTAATATCAACCTCTTGTCTTTTTATAAAATTAGTGCAAAGTATCCTCAAACATATCCTAATTTTTCACTTGTTTTTAGATGCATCTAGAAAGCTATCATTTTTTCAGTCATTTGTTTATTGCCTTCAGACTTATTTCAGTGCATCCCTTGATAATCAACTCACGTCAGTTTTGGGAAGCAATAGTTTTACGCTTTTCACATTCAGTTCACTCACTACCATCAGTCCTTGAGCAGAGCTTATCTACCTGTAGAGGCTGGAAAAGGCAATCCAATAGCCAGCCTGAGGAATCACTGGATGGTAGGGGTGGAAGTTGACTACAAGGGTCACTTTAGGTTCATCCTGCAAAATGTAGGATGCACTATTCCTAAACCATCCCAGATGTACCTTTTCTTGAAAATCTCCAATCGACAAGATTGTACAATTTCACTAGAGAATTTGTTCCATTGGCCTCCGGTTGTTAAGAAGGCCTTTTCGTTCGGGTTTTCATTTTTGGTGCTTTTTTGTTCCTTTTTATTTGTTTTGAGATTAATCTAAATCTGCTTTCCTGTAGTTTAAATCCATTGCTTTGTTTGCTGCCCTCTGCAGTAGGTTAGAATATTTACTCATCCACCAATTCCAACAGACTTGATATGACCTTTGGAAAAACCACTCACTGTCTCCAGACAGATTAGCTCAGAAATAAGGATGGAAATAAGGATAGAATTTTTTTTCATAGGAAATGAGTTTCACAGTCTATAAAGCCAAGGGAGTGACTCACCTCACAAAAATTAGAAATGCTCTTTTATTAGTGAAATTAGTGTGATATCCTGATTAGCTGATATCACTAGTGATACAGAGTGATAGAAAGTGTGGAGCTTTCTGTTGGGCAACAAACTTGATGCTTTTTCCTGGTTGTGTGGGATAATAAAAGAAAAGAAAATATATGCATGCTGGGCATGTAATTTCAACTTTTGCTCCACATACTGACAGCATGTGAAAAATGAACACATTTTCCTATAACATGCATTGCCACTCCTTTAAGGTTATACCTTCAAAAACCTGCCTCTTATTTCCACCTGCAGCTAGTTGTAGGCTCAGAAGATAATTGATCAGTTTGATTTTCATTCCCTTACCTCCACTGTGGTTTATTCCTATATCCAAACCCACTGTAGAGTCAATGTTCAGACATGAGCAGGTATGCAAACTTAAGCATCTGCTTGATCCGTTTTTTCTTAATGATAAATACTGGATATTTAAATGAGTTGCAGGTCTGTATTCTTTCACTTTCTGTAATGGGGTGAAAAGTGAGTTGACAGACTGAAAACCTGCTCCTTAATACTCTGTAATATCCCTGCTTGTAATTTTTGACACTTTTTTTTTCTTTCCCCATGTTTTAGGCCCTGGCCTTCAGAGGAACAGTGTAACAGATTACGCTCTAAATGCAGGAACTACAGCAATGAATGCACAACGGGTGTTAAGAGCCTTGCAGCTAAACAAACCTATTCTCCTGGAGGGGTCACCAGGTGTGGGGAAGACCAGTCTAGTAGCAGCATTGGCAAATGCTTCAGGAAATTGCCTTGCTCGAATCAACCTGTCTGAACAAACGGTAGAGTAGAATGTTATCCCCCTAACTGTACATTTTTCAGTGTGTGTGTATAAAATAGTAGTTTCTATAAAAGTATGAATACTCGGACTCTGAGTTGTAAGTGTTGAGCTTCCATCATCAGTTTGAGATAAAACTAAGTAGGAGTAGGGTGCTAGGAAAGAATGAAGAGCTTCTGTTAAGAAAGTGCCATTTCTAGAAGCTGTATTATAGGCCAGTGATTCTCAGGGTGATGTGAGATCCTTTGAAGGGTGTTACCACAAGATATAATGAGATAAATGAGATGATAAACACAGGCTTGTGCTCAGGCTCTTCCTTGCCTGGATGCTCCCCCGCTGCCATTGCCCAGCCCATCAGCTAGGAGGGAAAACTGTAATAACTGGATTTACCCAAATCTAAGACAAATTTGGATTTAAGATGATACCCACTCCCCACCCATGTATTATATTCCAGTCATGGAAAATTACGAATGTGTTTTAATTTTCCAGGTCTAGAATGTAGCTGTTGAAAGGACCTCTTAAATTCATCCCCCACCCCTACCACTGCTACAGGAAAAGCAGTGACAAGGGAACAAGCCCCACCTGCCTTGCCTGTCCCCCTGTTGTTTCCCCTGTCCGCATGCCATTGCTTACCTTTGCAGCTGGTCTGGCTCTGTCTGTGTGGGGGCATGGAGCACCTGGCTGGGTCAGGTGGTAGTGATAGCTCTGGCTTCAGCTTCTACCCCACAGCCCAGGTCAGGGTTGGGGTTGGAGCCACAGCAACTTCCCACTGCATTCTGTGGTTCCCTTTCTCCATGCCCCCTCTGCAGTGCATGCCCCTTCCCTGTGCTCTGCATGTCCCTTAGCCATGCTTTGCCCACCTCCTGTTCCCCCCCAGCCCCATATGCCCTTTCTGCCATACTGCCTCCAGTGCCCTTTCCTCCATGCTCCCTCTAGCACCATACACCCCTTCCTTGTGCTCCCCCTGCACTGTACCCCACTCACCCCTGCTTTATGTGCCCCCTACCTGCTGCATGACTAATCCAGCCTGGCCCCTTCTGGAGGCACAGCAGCTGCTTGCTACACCCATATTCAGATGTAAGAGGAGGGCTTTTTCGCCAGTGCTGAATGAGGGGAGGAAAAAACCTTATCTTAGATTTGAGTAAATATGGTAGTTTTTGAAATGCGGTGCCACTCAATTCACAGAAGTTACAGAGGGGTGGCTTAAGTCTAAAAGAGTTGACAAACACTGTTCTAGATCAAATTGTGTGCACATCTTCATAGATTCTGAGTTTATCTTGGGTCCTGCTCAGTTGCTTGAAAGATTTAAAGGGAGTTTTTTTCCTTCTTTTTAGTGTGGACACCCACCACACTTACAGGAGAGCATTCTCAATTTACCCTGCTGGAATATTGGAGTGGACACATTGTCACAAACCTGTCCACAGGGTATCCTCAAAGGCCCAAGTTTTCCGCCACTGTCCTGCTGCTTATCCCAAGGAACAGACTAAGGTTTGACCTGGGATAACTCTTTATCCTTGCAACACTCAGTTCCACTGCCTTATACTAGGGCTGTGCAAAGCTTCAGTCCCTGATTCAATTTGGCGGAGATTTGGTGGCCAAATCTCCAAATTTGAATCAAATTAGGAGACCCTTTAATCTCTCTGAATTGAATCGGAACCTCCGGGTCAATTTGGAGAGATTCAAATTTAGACACAGCTTTAAATGTTTTTTTCTACATACCTCAAGGTACCAGGTGGCTCGTGAACAGTGAGATGGTGGGGTGGATGGAGCGTCGCACAGGTGCACGGGGGGCTTCCCGGTGCACTCAGCAGCAGATGTGGAAGTGAACCAGCATTCTGGTCCACTTCTGGGTCTGCCAGGGAGTGAGCCCTCCTGGCTTGGCCACTGATGCTTCCTGGGTCTGGGAGGGGGTGGCACCTGGGGTCCCCCTGCAGCTGATTGCCAAGTGGGGGGGGCCCTCCCAGCGTGCTCAGCTGCGGACCCGGAAGTGGACTGGAAGTACTTCCAGGCCACTTCTGGGTTCACCGCCAAGCATGCAGGGGGGATCCCCCACACTCCTGTGGGGCACGCTCCATCTGCCTCAGCATTGCAGCATTCATGAGCCATGCCTGGTACCTTGAGGTATGTAGAAAAAACATTTAAAGGTGTGTCTATGTCCGAATCACTGATTTTTCTGAATCAGCATCTTCTCAAAGCAGGACCAGTCCCAACTAGGTCATCCCAGCCAAGGCTTTGTCTAACCAGATCTTAAAATCCTCTAAGGATGGAAATTCCACAGCCTCTCTGGGTGCTTCACTACTGTCCTGGTGAGAGTTTTTTTCCCCTAATATCTAATGTAAACTTCCTTTGCTGCAACTTGAGACTCTTGCTCCTTCTTCTGTCATCTGCCACCACGGAGAACAGACTAGATCCATCCTGTTTGGAACCCCCTTCAGGTAGCTGAAGGCTGCTATTAAAGCCCTGCTCAGTCTTCTCTTCTCTAAACTAAATAAGCCCAGTTCCCTCAGCCTCTCCTCAGAAGTCATGTACCCCAGCCTTCTAACCATTTGCTGAGGGATCTGGGACTCTTCAGCCTGAAAAAGAGAAGGCTGAGATAGGACTTGGTAGCAGCTTACTGCTACATCAGGGGGATACATCAAGGGCTCTGTGAACAACTGTTCACCAGGACACCCTTGGGGAAAACCAGAAGTAATGGCCACAGACTCCTGGAAGACCGTTTCAGGCTCAACATTAGGAAAAACTTCTTCACAGTTAGTGTCCAGACTGTGGAATAAGCTCCCTTCAGAGGTGGTGCAATCATCTACCCTGGAAATTTTCTTCAAGAGGAGACTGGACAGTTGATCAACTTGCTGGGGTCACCTAACCCCAGTTGTCTTTCCTGCCTGGTGCAAGGGGCTGGACCCAGTGATCTTCTGAGGTGCCTTCCAGCCTTACAATCTATGAATCCTTTTCCTTAAATATGCATCCCTCAAGTCTTTTCATTAAACCATATTCAAAATCACAAAGGTGCATACAGATAATGTAAATATGCCATACAGTGATAAAAGCAAATGAATGCATCATAACCTTAGCTTTTCAGTGAGACCATGCATGCCATATCCATAGAACCGACTCAAGAAAACATTTGTGACATCCCACGGACACCCCAAAATTTGGTGGGATACGATGCACAGGATTTACTTCAGAGAAAATGCTGTTCTCCAAAGTAAAGTTACTTCTGAGCGACGATTTAAATTTACTTTGGAAAGTGCTACTCTGGTATATGTGTTGTGTGTCCCCTATCATTGTGAGTTTCGTTCCAGGGTAGCTATTTGCTCAGGGCAAACTAACTCCCCTATTAACTAGTAATAGGGCCTACTGCTGGCAGCCAGCTTCACAGAGTTAATTGTGTGTCTGTTTGTTCCTCCAGGGTAAAAATATTGAGTGAGTGACTCCAGAATAAACATGTAATCCGTCTACACCTTTTGTTGAATGCACTAATGGGTAACTGGAAGTCAAACATAGAAAACTCAGAATATGTTTTATATGCCACAACTCTTAAAGTAAGGTTGGAATGTTGTTCACTTTAAAAATAAAGCAAGCCAAGGTCGGCAACAGGCTGTTAGGGATTTTATGACCTTTTATGTAGTTTCACAGATCTTTGCTTTTCTCCTTTATTTCCAAAGGACATAACAGACTTGTTTGGCACAGATTTGCCTGTAGAAGGTGGAAAGGGAGGAGAATTTGCCTGGCGGGATGGGCCTCTGCTTGCAGCATTAAAGGCCGGACACTGGATTGTGCTAGATGAGGTGAGTGCACATCTGGCATACAATCAATATAGAGCATTTAAAAGAAGAAAAACGTGGTGATTTGTGGGGTCTTGTGCAAACTTTTCACAAGGGTCTAAGTGACTTGGGAGCCCAAGGCTAAGTTTACATTTGAAAGCTTGTTACCATAGTTGTACCTGTTAGGAGTGAAAGAAGTCACACCTCTAATCAGTATAGCTGTACAGCAGAATGCAGATGCAGTTATATTGATGAAAAACTCCTGCTGCATCTCCAAGTGGAATATACTGGTACACCAGTACTTGAAAACCCTGTTAAGCATAGACAAAGCCCTACATTCTTGATAAAGGGCATCAGAAATCTAGCCTACAGAGCCCTTGGTGCTGCCTGCAGGTGTTAGGATGGACCTGCACACTGCCTGCAGCACATGCCAGATTGATTCAGATCAGTGTATGGTGCTTCATGCGGTATAGAGGGCTGGTCTGTGGGCTTGATCTGACCAGTAGACTGACACCGTGCTACTCATCCAGTGGTCTGTTTGGGGCCCAGGATCACCCAGGGCCACCCCAAATGGAGGGAAGAGTCTGTTGCAGGGATCTCAGTACTTTGAAATCTCAAGACAACAACAGGAGATGGAAAAGTGGGACCGGAAGCCAAATCAAGCATGTTGCAAACCAAATTGAGAAGCCAGCACCATCCACCCCACATGGAAACATGTCTGAGCTGCAGTAGAGTCAGTCAATCCCAGATAGGCCTCATCAGCCATTTTCAGATACACAGATGAGACAGTCATGGAAGACAATCATCCTCAACTGTGAGGGATTGCTGAAGAAGACTCAACTAGGTTGAGTTTGGCACCCTTGTTCTCGATTCAGAAGTAATATAGACATTCAAAAGTTTTAAGTACAGTGACTTAAAATAGGACTCCCAAGCTCTGATAGTTATTTAAGATTTGGATTCAAAGTTATTTAGGCATTTGGAAAAGTTTATCCTTAAACTCTGAATGCGGTATTTTATTTTTAAAAAATAGCAAAGATCAGGTTTCTCCTGGAGATCTTGATTATAATTGTGCTGAGTATGAAGTCTTATATTCTCTGTTGTAAAACCACCAGTTTAAAATACTTATGTAACTTAAACATCTTTATTAACTTTTGTAGCTTAACAAAAATTTAACCTGGAGACTTAGGAGAAGCATAAAAATTAGCCCAAAAGAAACAATGAGTGCACAAAGGACAGATTTTTTTAATGAAATGATGCTGTGATACCCTATTGACACCATGGTGGAAGAACCGAAATAGAAAAATTCTTAATTACAGCTCCAGCTGCTGTCCTGCCATAATATAGAACAATGGCTGGAGATAGTTTCAGAAACTTTTTCTGAATGGGAACAGGGGATTAGAATCTTACCTTTGTATAAATTATAGCCTGTTAAAGTAGAGGTCGTGGGAGGTTCTATTTTTATGGAATATTATCAATTTTTTCTATTTCTTTTCTCAAATAGCTGAATCTGGCTTCCCAGTCTGTATTAGAAGGACTGAACGCCTGCTTTGACCATCGGGCAGAGATTTACATCCCAGAATTGGGGATGAGTTTTCATGTGCAACATAAGAAGACAAAGATCTTTGGATGCCAGAATCCATACCACCAGGGGGGTGGACGAAAGGGTTTGCCCAAATCTTTCCTCAATAGATTTACGCAGGCAAGTCATCAGTTTATTTCGAGCTGTGCCACCATCCTGTGTTTATTCTTGTAATGATTTAAGCAGTAATACACTGTGTTATCAATTTTATTAGGTATATGTTGATCCACTTTCAGCTGCAGATATGGAGTTCATTGGGAACACTCTGTTTCCTGCCATTGACAAAAATGTCATTGCTAAAATGGTTGCCTTCAATAACAAGGTAAATATTTTGATTCATCTTTAAGTCTGAATTAATGCTTGTGTTTATAGAATGCATGAAGGCAGAATGAGTGAATGAGAGGGCCTTTTAAAAACAAAAATATGTGTAGCATAGAGTTTGCAGAGAAGTTGGGAGAGTCAAAATATATAAAGGAGGAAGTAGAACACAACAGATCAGGAAACTGGAAGGGGGAAAGTCAGTAAATTCAGAAAGTACCAGAGGAAAGAGTATGCTATGTGCAGAAAAACAAAGCAGACCGAGCATAGGAAAGGAAAAATGTCTAAGAAAGAAAAGATGTAATGAGAACAGTCAGCCAAATGCCAGCATGTTACCATTAGTCAACATATGTATTTAGGTCTTGTTCATCACCTTTTTGCAGTTTGTCTAATGCTATTTGACAAATACACTAATATCATTGCTAGATCAGACACTCATGGAATAGGTTAATCCTGCTAGAATTTGTTAAATATATTCAGTGACTTTTCTCTGAAATCCAGTTAGCCCTCGAAGTGATGACACCTGAAGAAAAAAAATTCACAGTTACTTAGCTATGACAGTTAAAGTAGGAGTGGGATAAAATACAACTTTTTGTGACCTTGAAGTAGTAGGTCAGGTTTGAGCCATTTCCTTTAAGGTGGGAGGGGGCTAGTCAGCTTAGCTGTAAAGCTATTTGTCAAGTAAAAATATTCAAAATGCGGGACCATTATATTAAGCTTGTCAGCATAGTTCCCTAATTCCTGATTTCCTGGAAATAGGTTTTTACTGATTATATTTATACAGTTTGTAGATGTTAGCTGGTCCTTAGAGACCAACTAAAAGTCCTCCTCCCTTAATCCACCCTCCCACAGCTTGGTGCTATGCAGAGCCGTAGGCATCTCTGTCTACAGAATGCAAAACACTAGAGAGATACCGCAGACCTAAGAATAGGAATAGTACATACAAGCCAAATGAACAGTATGATTTTATGTTAATGTTAATACAGTTCTGTGATTAAACTAACCAAAAAAAACCCACCTCAACATGTAAATGTTTTTTGATTGTATTGAGACAGTAGAAAGATCTTGATGTGCTGGTAGACAAAGGAGATATAACCTCACCTCTTCTCTATCTTAAGTTTGGGGGAAAAATGGGTTTTGGAAACTCAGAATTGAATTTGGCAGATACTAACTTTCACTGAGCATAGGTTATCCTAGAACTGTTGAAGCAGAGAGTAAATAACCTGAGCTGTAAAGTTTCCTGAGGGTATGCAGGGCATTTTCAACATATTTAGAGGTTGATTGATTGCAGTCAAAGAGAAGACTTTAATAGACTCATCCTTCGTGGCAAGAAATTCAGAGATACTTAAAATACAAAATTCAGTATATTTTGAGGAAGGCCTGCACTAAAGTGTAATTTATGGTGCATCACTGCATAAGTGTGCCAATTTGTGGCTTCAGTACTATTTCTCTGTATAAGCATCCAGAGCCATATATAATGCAGTAACAGGTTTTTCCCCCTAAATCTGAAGTTTGTTATAAATGTGCAAATTAATTTTAATTCAGGTGAGCCAAAGTAAATTTTGAAGGCTTTTTAAAGCCCTCCAAAGAGCCGTTAGGGTTACACTGGTGAACTAAAATCCGATTTCTGAACTACCAATGAACCCATTTCCTAAATGTTAGTTATCCAGGTACTCCTCACTTAACATCATCCCAGTTAACATTGTTTCGTTATTATGTTGCTGATCTATTAGAGAACATACTCGTTTAAAGTCGGGCGATGTTTAGTTATAACGTTTGGCTGCAGCCTGTTAGTAGGTAACTATTTTGATGTAATTGGATTTGCTTAACATTGTTTCACTTAAAGTTGCGTTTTTCAAGAACGTAACTACTATGTTAAGCAAGGTGTTGCTGTATCTTAGAAGACTAAGGGTAAGCAACATGCCTAGTTTCTCAGCTATATATTCCACCAACCTTTAATCTGTGGCAGCCATTGTAAGAAATTAGAAGTAGATGAACCATAATAGTGCTTGGAAAATGTTTTGAAAAATAATGCTTGGAAAAATATAACACCTTACAGCTGAGCCTCTGTAACGGTTTTGTCTGTTTACTTTAAATGGAAGTTCAACCACTATATGTTTTATCCATATTTAAAATTATAGAGATTTAGGTCCACTATGCCATTGCAAAGAGTGGACAGATATGGTTACATTGGTCTCCAGTGGCTTCTACGAAGTTACACTGAGTATGTGTATGGAAAAATAGTTGACTCAGAAAGCCAAGAAAGGTATTAAGAGAGAAACGAAAACATGTTTTATCCCTTACATAGAATATTGTACAGAGGGGTCTTGCTGAAATATCATCCCTGGAGTCCAAAACAAAAAGAAAGAAAAGGTGAAAATGTCTGAGGTGTTAGGGAGCTGATATTTAGTAGATAAGCCCTACCCTTCATGTTGGGCACGCTGAATTTGATAGCAGCAGCCCCAGGCAACTCGTTGACAGTGACAGAGGACTCTTAATGCCTTCCAGTGTCCTCTGCATTAGGTATGGGATGCCTATTGTCAGAAGCCCATAAGAAATGTTTTAAGATTCATGTGCAAGTGGAATAATAATAATTATTATTATTATTATTATTATTTTACAACTGCTGCTTTTTCTAGATTGATCAAGAAGTCATGGTTGAAAAAAAATGGGGACAAAAAGGAGGACCCTGGGAATTTAACTTGCGTGATCTTTTCCGCTGGTGTCAGTTGATGCTTGTCGATCAGTCACCCGGCTGTTACAGTCCAGCCCAACATGTATTTTTGGTTTACGGTGAAAGAGTGAGAACCAAAGAGGACAAAGAGAAGGTGAGCTATACGTTTTCTTTCCCCGCCCCCTCACTGTTGTGAAATGTTCCTAAGAACGCATGTATAAATGTAAAAATATTTTACAGCATAACTATAGACATTGCTGTTGCACAAAAAATAATGCAAAAGAAAAAAAAGAAAATGTGTTAATCATCCCCAACGTGTGCCTCTTTCTACTTCCCTTTTTAAAATACCTATTGCTTTCGTAGCTTTTGGCACAAAAACATAGTAATGCACATACAAACCCAGGTGAGTGCAGCAACAAAGAACTTGAGTGAGGTTTGGAGATGATTTGTTACATATCAGTATTTCTGCAAAGTGTATGTGTAATTGGGGACAAAGGAGTCTCAGCTGAGGGATGGGTTGAAGGAGGAAGAGAGTGAGAGAACTAGTATTTAATGGGAGTTGGTTTATTTCTGCAGTTGAGAGAATGAAAATAATGTCATTAATTATTTGCAGTATTGCAGGATTCTATTTGTGCTCATTTGTTGCTGATCTTTCAGATGTTTAGTTTTTAATTTATGTGCAGTTTGTATAATATCTCTCCTTTTCAATAGCTCGTCACATCGCCTAGTTCTCCCTCCATAGTGTTCTGTTGAATCTTACCCTGCCTTTCGTTTTACCTACTATTCCTTAAGCTTGAAGTAGGCTCCTTTTCTAGTTTGCCAGCCAAACTCACTTCTTCAAGCCCCTTCTAAAACTCAGTTTATTTTGATTACCTGTCCATCTTTAAGACTCCTCCTGCTTTTGTGTTGCCTAATTTGTTCATTTTTTTGCAGTTTAAACATATAATTGAATTGAAATCAAACTCTTAAGTCTACGTTATGTGCCAAATATAAGCAGTAACTTCTCCCTTAAGTTTCACTTTCCTTCCCTGCATCTGTGTTCTACATGCTGTATCAGAAGAGCTCTTTATCAAATGTCATCTTTACCTGTTGTTCTTTCTGATCATGTCATGGAAGATAAAGTTTGCTAACTTAGCAAATCCTTGTAGATTGTTGACACTCATAGTTATAGCTGCTGTACTTCATTGTTGTGTTTCTGGACAATAAAGCAAAGCTCTTTTAAGATAATTCAGAGCAAATATTCCTTTAGAACGAGAAGATTATAACTTACATGTTGTAGAAACCTAGACTGATTAATTTCTTTTTTCCTTTAAAATTTTTTTTCTCCCTATTTAGGTCATTTCCATATTCAAGGAAACTTTTGGCCACAATTCTAGTCCATATGTGGGGACCAGACAGTTTCACATTACTCCTTATAATGTTCAGGTAAGATGAGAGAGGAAAAAAAACATATCTTCTGATTTATCACCTTAAACATGACATTCTTTTCTCCCTCTCTCACCGTCAGCTCACTGATGCATTTTTGTTAATTCTGTTTTAGATTGGGTATTCAGTTCTGTCCCGTGGCAACTCTGTTCCTCACCCTGGCAGAAATCTATCACTTCTTCATCATTCTCTGCAGTCCCTTGAATCCATAATGAAATGTGTACATATGAGCTGGATGGTAATATTGGTAGGTCCTGCAGCTGTCGGCAAGACCAGTCTCGTTGAACTTCTGGCCCACCTGACAGGTCATCGACTAAAAATTATGGCAATGAACAGTGCTATGGATACAACTGAACTCTTAGGTGCATTTGAGCAGGTAAATTATATTTTTGCGGTGGCTGCTATATATAATCAACCCAACTGGTTTTTAATCATTTAATAGAATCATCAGTACTATTATTAATATACTAACTGCTGTTGCAGGTTGATCTCATTCGGCCATGGCAATCCCTACTCGAGAAAATGGAGAGTACTGTGAGTACACTAATAAGGGATAGTCTGCTGCTTGCTGACATCTGTGCAGATGATGCTGAAGTTGTGCTGCGAGCTTGGAGCAGCTTCGTCCTCAACTTCAAACCCAAATCCTTGGGTGATGGGAATAAAAATATAACAACTGAAGTAGTGAGCAAACTAGAGGGAATATTATCACTTATCCAGCGACTAAACAATAAAATAAACTCTTACTCCAAGGCAGGTATGTACAGTGGTGATTTGGAAGCAAAGTTCTGAAAACTATATTTCGGTGTGGAAGTTCCTGAAGCAAGTTGTATAGCTAATGAAATGTTGAGAGTGGTTTTTTTAGTAAGTTTTTCCAGAAATCATCTGAAGATCAGTGCTGTTACCTAAATCCATGTGTTCAACACAGTTGTTTTTTTTTTTTTGTTTTTTTTTAAAGTGTGCTTTAACTAGGGTGTTTCCAAACTTAATGTCTTGTGCCAATTTATTATGGTTGTGCTCAGCAATCAGAATCAGGGCTTTACTCTGATGTTTATATTACAAATACAGAGCGAGGCAGTTCATGACCAAAGCTTAAATCCCGTGGCTCCTGGACTACAGTTTGCATGGTATGTGGGTAGACTCCTAAAATAAAAGCAGTTTCAGTAACTGAAGCCATTACTATAATATTTTTTCTGTTCCAGAATTTTCACGACTGATGGAAGAATTTTGGCATTTCAAGCTGCAGCATGTTCAGTCTGTGGATGGTCAGAGTCATGGCACTTTTGAGTGGGTTGATGGAATGTTGGTTCAGGCCTTGCGGTCCGGTGACTGGCTTTTAATGGACAATGTTAACTTTTGCAAGTAAGAAATATGACAGTTTCATTTCTGCGGTGAACAGATCTCTCTCCCCACCTCCCCTGTTCATTTCGACTCCGCCTTTTTCAAATATACTTTTCAAACTGGTAAATATCTATTCTGATAGCAAATATATATTCTGATAGCAATATGCTGTTGTGAGGCTTCCTTTCTCGTGTCCTTGCAACAAGGTATTTAGCATAATTTGCAGGTTCATTGGAATCTGACAGGCCCTGCTGTGAGCGCTTCTGCTATGGCCTCAGACTTGCAAACTCTGGGCTGTCAAATGTGTGCCTTAGCACCTGCACCACCCCAGTCTCCACTGTAAGGATGATTAAACAGCTAAAGGTGAAGAGGGGACTCTTCTGAAAATACTTAAATTAGACGTGGTTTCTGTTATCATTGTCTTTGGTTATCTCTTCAGCTCCTTATTTATGGTTCATTCCATTTTGATTTAATATGATTTACTTTGGTATGAAGGAAGGACTTGCAACTCACAGAAACTTTTTTGTTCAATACAGTCCTTCAGTCCTGGACCGCTTAAATGCTTTGCTTGAACCTGGAGGAATCCTTACCATGAGTGAGAGAGGTGTGATAGATGGCTCCACCCCTACAATAGCTCCTCATCCCAACTTCAGGTGCTCAGTTTCTATGCATTTGTGAAGTTGCTTTGTTTCTGCACTGACCTTGAGAGGTGAATGATATTGACAGTAGGCAAGATTGTGTTATTCCAGGCAGACTTCCTTAGTTTCCCCCTGCACATCATGGCCTGTCTTTGCTGACCAGAGAAGAGAAAGCCGTGGTGGTTTAAGTCCCAGTTTAGGAATTGGGACGTCTGGGTTCAAATTGCTGCTCTTTCACAGACTCTGATAGCGACAAGCCATTTAGCAGCTCTTTGCTTTGGATGATCCACCTGCATAATGGTTTCCTGTCTCAGGAGTGCTGTGAGGACAAACACTTTAAAGGTTGTGATGTGCTTACGTCCTATGGGATGGGTAGGGGATCTGAGCACTAGAGATGAATAAGTATCTCGGTAAGTATCTCTCAATCAGTACTGTATGTTTAATGCTAAACAAAATATATATATTGGCATAGCCCTTGAGTAGTGTAACCCTTCTCCTGGGCACCACTCAGCAGCTGGGTACCATTCGGCTGGTTTCAAATTTTGGGATACCAATACATTTTCGCTGTGGCTCGAGCCTCCATCCAGAATTCTGGGTTCATTGAATTTGGTTGGGGTATCCCCCATAAACAAACCCCCCTTGTTGCAAACAGTATAAACACAGAGGACAAATTTATTACAAAGGAAAACAGTAATTTAAAACACTACCAACTACAAAGTACAGTCTCTAATACAGTACAAAGTATAGTTTGCACCCCTTCTGAGGAGACTTCACCCATGTCCAGTTTGTCTGAGATGTGGGGGTTCAACCAAGGTTTAGTTCCAGGGGCCTATGCCCCTATGCCTGCTACTCAGCAAGAGAGTCCTGTAAGCTGTTCCCTGGATTTCAGACTCTTGGGGAGCTGCTAGTAAGCATAGGTCCTTCTGCAGTGCAAGGGGCCCCTCATTGCTTCCTGGGAAGCTGTAGAGCAGTGATCTCCACTTTCATATGGTGGCTTTGGAGGGTGACCACACCCCAAAATTCCTACTCCCAAATTCCACAGCTTTTGCTGCAGCAAAAACTTCCAAAGAACTCAAAAGAAAGGGAGCCAGGCCTATCTTGATTCCTGGGCCTGAACTGCAGATGGGTTCAGACACCAAGCTAGGCTAAGGTGCAACAGGAACCAGGCTCCAAATCCTGACCCATGCTTTACCTGGCTCTAATCCTGGTTGTTTGCTCCAGGATATCCCCTCAGCAAAGAGAGGACAAAGAAAGGGAGAGGAGAAGAGTCCCAGACTGAGACTCTCTCACTCCCTTGTACTGAGAGTTCCCTTTCACCTTGTTTTTCCTGCTGGGGCCCTCCCTGGGATTCCCCTTAGCCCGCCAGCTGCTTCTTCCTATGTACCTGGTGTGACATCACCCCAGTTATCCAATTAGGGGTCACCAGGCTGCTTGTTTTTTTCCTGTTAACCAATCTGAAAAAAGAGCACTGCCTAGTTAGCCAGTTAGGGTGGGGGTCTGGTTACCCTGGCTTATGGGACAAGAAGCGAGGTTTCTTGCTTAGAGTAAACAGAAGGGTGGGTTCTAGACAAAAGATGTAAACAAAGGAGCTTTCCTGCCTTTGTTCTAGCGTGTTTCTTTTCAGTTTAAGAAACAGACAAGATACAGCCGAGCAAATATGTATTAAAGCTGGTCACAGTCAAGCTAAAACAATATTTTACGGCTGCATAAAATTAGAATACTTTGCAGTACAGAATGCTTATACATTTTGTGTGTGTGATATACAGTAGTATTTGTGGGTCAGTGTCAAGGAGGGAATTTAAGCATTGCTGTACCTAATCCTTACATTTTTATATTTATTGAGACAATACTTTTGGTTCACTATTTCCTTGGCTTATTCCAACTGCAGATGTTGGAAAAGAAGATAAAATGTTTCCTTCAGGTGGCTGAGGTTCTTTAACTCCCCATGCCTGAAAAAAGGGTGCTTGCAAAGAACTTTTTTTCCAACTACTGGGTTCGTCTAATAAAAGATATCTTATCTACCCAAAGAAGCTTGCCTAGTTCCCTTGTAAGACTTTCACTCTGGGTGAAATCTGGGATTGTGAGTCAGTTCCTTTTAGCCAAGGTCTCTTTATTCACTTTATTCTAACTGTTGCCTTAATAGCCATACCCAGGTCCCTGATGGCACAATGCAAACCCAGGATTATCACAGTTGATTTTCTGCGGCTTCCAAAGTATATTCAGCTCTGAGTAACCTTCCAATACAAAAGTGTCTGTGTTTAGACTAAGAAACCGGGCTTGTGGTAGAGGTGACATCTTTTATTCGCCCAACAAACTAGGTCCTTTCCGACCCTACTTCTATGAACTAGATTTTTTACAAAAAAAAAAAATCTTTAATTGCAAGCTTTCGGGCACAAACACCCTTCATCAAGCATCAGAGAGAAGATTGTAAGTTATCCTGGGTAGAAATGAAAGTTCATGTTTCGTAAGATTTCACAGAGGAGTCAATAGATGGAAAACTCCTCTGGGCAGGCAGTTCTTAGCTGGTAAGGTGTGTCTCAGCTCTCTTGTGAGGCTAGACTAGACTCTCTTGTGTGTTTAAACTAGAAATTTATAGTCTTACACTACTACTTTAAATGGGCAGAACCTGAATCAGTTTAGGTAAGTATAAGTTACTTGTGACCCCAGAAGGATTTTCCGGTGTTCCTAGGTCTCCTTTATATGGAACTATTTAGGCTTATTAATACCTTTTTCTAAATGGCAGAATAGACTAGGGTATTTTACATAATTAAGCCAAATAGTTTAAAGGGATTTTAACTAACACTTTCTGGAATTCTGTTGTACACTTACACAAATGAAACTCACCGTGAGCTCACTGGGACAAAAGTCCTTCATATTCTACCCTTTGTGAAAGTGATTTAAAGGCATGACTTTATACACAGTGGCATGCTGTATGAACAGTCTTAGTGTTTTCAGAATCATATCTTGTGTTTTTAGTAGTCTCTTGTGACTGTTTAACAGGCTTTTCCTTTCAATGGATCCTATTCATGGGGAAATATCCAGAGCCATGAGGAATCGTGGGATAGAGATTTACATTCCAGGGGAGAGTGATTGGAATGTATTGGATCAGCTGGACCTGAAGTTGTTGTTGCATGAATTGGGCTTAGTGGGAGATAGCATCTGTGATGCACTTCTGACAGTTCATTCAGAAACTAAAGAGATGATAGCAGGTAAGAAAAACTTTCTTCCTTTTTTGGTAATTAATACTTACCAGAGTATTAAATATCTTCTCTGGCCTTTGGCCTGACTCTGAATATTAAGTCTGAAATATCTTTTAGTGTTACACACCCTATTAGAAACGGACACAGAAATCTCCAGTACAGTCAGGTTTAATCATGGAAAAGTAAGAACCTGCAGAGGTCATCTACTCCAACCCCCCACCAGACACAGGATCATCCCTATCCAAACCATCCTATATAAATCCTTGTCTAACCTATTAGCAAAACTGCGCGGTCAACTCTGACACAACCACGAGGAATAACACTTGCTACAAGTAAAGCCAAGGGACAGCAGAGGTCATTGTCCTGCTGGTGCTAAGGTTATTAAAATGATGCTTGCAAGACCCAAGGAAGAGAGCCATGCTCTGCTACAAGGGAAGGCAAAAATCTGTGTGTATCTGACTATGAGGTAAAATTCCATCCTGACCCTAAATATGGTTGTCAGCATGGATCCGACTGGAGGGCCAGGTCCGTTTAGCCAAGAACCTGTTGGTTTAAGTCGCAGCAGGAGCATTGGCATACCCCATTCAAAATCCCCAGGTTTGGGTGCAGCCAATATCCAGTGCTTCTGTGGAGGTGAAAAAAACTGACACACAGAAACAGGAGGAGGAAAAAAATTCCTTCTTAGCCCCATATGGCAACAAGCATAGTCCAAAAGCATGGGAAATATTCATAGTAGAACACAGGCATAGCTACTGTGAGATCATCTATGAGCAATGCCTGTCCAATCTCCTCTTGAACACCTCCAATGTTGGAAATTTCACAGCTTCCCTAGGTGTCTGTTCCATTGCCCTACTGTTCTAACGGTAAAGAATTGTTTCCTGATATCCAATCTAAACTTGCTTTGCTGCAATTTCAAGCCTTGGGTTCATGTCCTGCTCTCTGCAGCAAGAGAGAAGGTGCTTTCCCTCTTCTTTATGGCAGCCCTTTAGCTATTTCTTTAATTTCTGCTTCTCAGTGACTGACCCTAGATCATAAAGCCAGAGAGAAGAGGTCTCTGCCTGTTCGATATCTTTTGACATTTAATATGGGCTGCACTATGGTCCCCAGCTCAGGGGGGAGAGAGGCTTAAACTATTTTGTGTGAAAATTATACCCAAGAAGAAGACTTGCACAAAGTCATGTTTGTTTTTTTTACTGCCAGGTTCTGGAATGGGCTCCCAAATGAGGTGGTTTACTCTCTTCTACCTTGGGGGTCTTCAAGAGGAGGTCTGGACAGATATTTGGCTGGGGTGAAATGACCCCTGCGCCCATTCCTGCCTGGGGCAGGGGGTCGGACCTGATGATCTGTTTAGGTCCCTTTTGACCCTAAGCACTATGATACTATGTGTACCACTCATGCCCAGTGGCAAAACTTTCAGAAGTGGCTAGCATCTGGCACAGACTCCAGCTTGAATCTGATACGTGTCCTCTTGTACTAGAGTAAAGTTCTCCCACATACCATATCAGTAACACAACTGTCACGTCAAGACATTCTACAAGTTGATTTTGTAAGAGGGAACATAAGTATAATTTGTTAAAGAACCAGGCCCGTTAACACTGTCTAGACAGAGATTTCTTCACTTAATTTTGAAAAACCCCTTGTATAGTTGTCTCTTAGGAGGAGACATCTAAAAAAATCTGGAAATTTGAAGTCTGTGCTCAACTTACCACTTGATGTTTTGTCCTATGCAAGTCGCTGAAAGAGCAGATTCAACGTAAATTCCAGTTAGTATTTTTCAGTCAGTATATGTATAACAATTATGTTATAAAGGTTTTTCTCCCTTATTGTTGTTTGAGATTTTGGCTATGACTGTGCAGCTGAAGTGGTAAAAGTAACTATACACAAAGTGCTGTGCGATGCACTAAATAAGGACAATTTTAGACTGTTTTCTGATCTTTCCGGTAAAGTACTCTGGGGAGTAGTATCAGGTAAAAATTTTAAGAGACAGAACAGACTTTTTAGATTGGCTTTTGCCTTCTGTTGGCCTGTTTCCAACTTGTAAAATGGGGATACTTGCTTACTGACCTAACAGAGATACAAGATATAATTAATTGCTATTGGACCTTGGTTGCAAGGCACTAAAAAAATTATGTGCTACTCAGGAGGTGAAAGTGTGGATAAAATAAAGCAGTCAGTAGGTTTTACAAAAATGGTTAGCTCATATTAATATTAAGACCTTTTCAGGTTCTGCATTGTCTTTGTCATCATTGCTGCATGCTGCTACATTAATTGCACAACAGTTGCATCGAGGCATTGGGTTAGCAAAGGCTTTCTACAGAGCATGTTGGGATGTTTATGTCGGCTCACAACAATCACAGATGAATCAAAAGGTAAATGTTTTGTACCTTCCTTAAATAAAAAAAAATTGCATTTCTTTCCGAACCTTCAACTATATCCATTTCAGGAAGCAGTGTTGGTGATCCTGAGACTGCCCTTTTGAAGGGGTTGGAGAACATTTACATTCCTAGAGTTACTGGCTCCAATTCTGAGCTGAATCTCACAAGGGGGGGTGCGGGGTGCAAGGTGTTGTCTTCTGGTTGGAGTGTTAAAGGCAGGGTCTGGTCAATTCAGACGTCTTCAGACCAAAAATTGAGGTGTTAGCTCTGGTTCAGATTAGTCTGGAGAAAATGTAGGCTATCAGTTTGAAGTTTTTCTGGTAGGTTGCACCTTGAAGTGAACAGATCTTATCTCAAACGCTCCAGAATTGTTGTGTGTGTCTGTTGTGGGCAAAATGTTTTCACACCTCAGATACAGATTTTGAAATGATTTGGGATCCTGCAATGTGAAATCTATTGCAAAAACAGAATATTTTGGTTCTTAATTAAAAATCTTCCTAAGCAGTATCACCTTGAGGGCATATTCAAGGGCACAGTTCTCAATTGTATTATGGTCTTCTCTTTTCAGCTTGTGCTGGAATTGGTAAGGAAGCATGTTTCAGCTCTGTCTTCGCATGAGACTTGGGGTGATTCCCTGCTCACAGTGGGCCTGTGGCCAGACTCTCTACCTACAGGTCTCTTTGCAGTTGAAGACTCTCTTCTTTCTACAGTCCAGAGCGATGGGCAGGTCCTAGCCTACTGTCTGAATAGATTGAACCTGAAAAACACCAGGTGGGTGAGAGACCCTACTTGATTAAAATGCAAGCAGTAAACACCTAAGAGTACTATGGTATGGAATTGGACACACTAGTGGTCAGTAGGTGGTATTAGTACTACCTTGCTCCATCAGGAGATGGCGCTAACATGTAATACCAAATCCTTGTTTGTTTATAAAGCTCTGCTGAGACTCAGCATCAGAGTAGTTAACTAGGGCTCCGCACAAAAGAGTCCCACTCGATTCATATTGAAGGCTGTCCCCTTTCAACCCACCTAGAACTGTGTACCTGGTTATTCTGGGTGGGGAGTTTTTAAGGTGAGCAGGTAAGGGTGCTAGTCATATCCCTTGCTGGTGCTCCATTGGCTGTGGGAACTGGCATGTCTTAACCACTCTTGCCCATATGCTCCTCAGTTCTGATGGACCTTTCATTTTGATTTATGAAACTGATCTGCTGAATGCTTATTTTTATGCATTTCAGAGCACTGCCCCTTACTCTGGAAGATTTGCAGAAGGTTATGCAGTCCACCAATTCTGAGAGTCTCAAATTCGGTGCTGTTGAGATGGATGCATGCTGGCTGGATGAAATTGAGGTCCTTTCTGCTTCTGTTAAATTGTTCATAGAAAAGGCAACTAATCAGGATTGGATGTTGAGAGTTAGGTGGCTTAATCACCTAACAAAAAATCTACCGCAAGTGCTTGGTAAGTACCTTAATTATTTTACATACCTCAGACCAGTCAAATTCTCTGCACTGTTTTTTCTTACACAGCAGCAGTAAATATTACACAAGTAATTTTGTTCACATATTACCTAGTGTAGAGATTCTCAACCAGGGTGGCATGAGATTCTTTTAAGGGCACAGCATAACGTTAGCAGTATTAGGTTTACAAATATGATTCGCAAGCTAAACCCAGAGATTTCAAAATGAAAATTGTAGCTGTGGTGTTTCTGAGTGTTTTTGCAACAGAAAAACTGCTCCATTATCTTTCTGTAGGCAAAAAAAAAAAAGAGTGAAAACAGAGAGATGTCAGTGCTTCAAGTCTATCCAGGGGTGCTTCAAATCTAAAAAGTTTGAGAACCACTGCCCTGTTGTTTCAGGGGTGTAGGTTCCAGTATTAAAACATAATTACTTGAACAGCCAAACAGCCAATGAAAAATTGGGGTTTTCTGGAGACTGATATCTGATTGCTCCGAATAATGGGTGATCTGAGAAGGGTTCATATACTGAAGACCCAAAATCTCTAAATATTCCAGAGAGCTGTTTAATAACTAGGATTGAAAATGTTTTCTGTAAATTAACTTTTGTTTTACGACTTAAGTATTTAGCACTAAGGAGGGATTAGCTGTTGCCTGCAACAGCCACCAGAGACTCTGAAACCACTAAAATGTGTGTTTGGCCCCAGCTAGACCAAAAAAACGTCCTACAGGACTTGCGTACTTAGGTCTTGAAACTGTGTGCGAATATCCTTCCACCTGGAGGGGATGTTCAGAACTGAAGAACCTCAGTATTAACAAGACATCCTAGCTTATCAACACTATAATAGTTTATAAAACTTGTATTTGAATGGTCATAATTAAAGATGTAGGCTGATATTTTTTAAACATCCTAAGATACACACAAAATATACAACTTTTATAGATCTACTAGCAAATTGCCTGTCAAAAACGATGGGGGGGATGGCAGGGATGGGGTCCCAGTGTTTGGCCCTGTGCCCGCTGCTGGTCCAGCCCCACCCACTTCAGGCCCGACCCCACCTCCCCCAGCAGTTTGGGATCAGGGCTGAGACCGCTCCCAGCTTTGGGCCCGGGCCCACTCCCCTCCCTCATGGCCACTGCCATGCCCGTGCCACTGCTGCCCCATGCCTGTGGGCCCAGCAGCAGCAATGGGTGCAGGTCCAGCACTGGTGGTGGGCCTGGGTCAGATGGTGGCTGCAAGCACAGGCCCAGTGCGGTGGCTGTGGGCACAGGGTGGCGGCCATGGAGTGGTGGCTGCGGCTACCAGTAACTGCCCCCTCCCCCAAGCTCCCCTCCCTGCTGTCTTTTGTTGGGGGGCAAAGGGGGGTTGTTCCAGCCCCTAGCTCCAAGGAGCAGAGTGGGGGGCGACTGGTTCACTGTCATGACAGTGCTCTGCTGTCTGTCCTGTCTGTCTAGAGCACTCAGTTGGCTGCTAAGACAGCCAGTCAGAGCACGAATAAAGCGTTATGGACAGACTAAGGTTTTTATAATATTAGAATTGGGAAATCCTAGTCTATATTCGTGCCAGAATGAGACGGATGGGGTTCTCTCTTCTGGAAGTTATGGTTTGTTCTCAGATAAATATATGTATATTTATAATCTGAAATTGCAACCAGAAAACATTACACATATCTAGAAAAATATTTTAATGAGAACTAAGTTCTGTTAAAAAATGCTTCATTGCTATTTAAAAAAAAAAAGTCTCAAGGAGAAATTAAGGATAAAGTGTGAGATGTCAACTCCCATTGACTTCTGGAAACTGCTCTTTCAGTAACTAGACATCATGAAATTCTGATGAATTCTGTGGCCTTGCCATAAAGTACTTCTGGTAACGATTTTATCTCCTTGATAGTGCATTTCAAAATATCTCCCAAGTGCTTTGTACCGCAGAGGTTAAATTGGCGCGTTGTCTGCTGCTGCAGCTCCCCAGAAAGACTGCGTTGCCACCTGCAGCTATTGTAGACAAAGAGCAACCGAAAACTGCCAAGCGCCAACAGCTGAGACTCAGGCTTTCTGTGCTGGTGCAACCTGAGTACAAGTTTTGGACTCAATGCAGTTTAGGAGTTTGTAACCTGGAAGATATTATTATTATTCCTACCTACAGATTCAGTGTGCACACAACTGGAAGCTGGAGCTGCATCTCTGACCAGTTTCTACTCCAGTTCCCTCTCTGCTGGAATCAGTAATGTGATCAAGTTGTTACAGCCAAGTATGACAGGTATCTTCACAGCATGTCACTGTGTCTCTTTCATTCATTTGTGCATTTTGTACAAGCTTCTTTTAAATGATGAAGATTGTGGACAGTTTTTGCTCTGAATGCATTGCAGCCCTTCTGGGAAAGTCTGCTGTACAAAGCTGTACTCTGACTTTACCTAGCAATACTTCCGAATCTGAAAGGAGAAACTGCAAGAGTTGAATGGTTGTTGGCAATAGAGAGAATCTGATTGTGAAGTCTGCAGACATTAGCTTAACAATTTAGATTGCTTCCCTCTAATGCATGTTGTAAGTGGTTCTTTAGGACTGGTGTGGCACATGGATAACGTGTTAATCTTTTGCCATTTTCTTTGCTGGAAGTAAATCATTTTCAGTATTGTTTAGGATATTATGCTACTCTTGTTTGGCATTTGGATTAATCCATTGGCAAGGTGGGTGGTTAGATCGCAAAGAATTAGGACATGGTTTTAATCTAGAGTTGTGCAGGGGGAGGCTAGGAGCTCCTCAGGAAGGTATTAATTCTTCCTGGGTTGAAGGAAACTTGCTGAAACATTAGGAGCTGCTGTGTTATCCCCATGTTACAGATGGGGAACTGAGGCACAGGGAGACTAAGGTCCAGGTCTGCAGATGGATGAGGTGGACTTTAGGTGCCTACATCCAGGAATGTGATCCTCAGAACTGTTGCTCTACTTAGGCACACAGGTCTTCCCAGGGTAGTTTCTTGAGCACTTTGGAGTTTTACTTTTTTCACGTGCATGGAACAGCTACCATGTTGGTGATTCAGGGTGTCTCTCACACCTCTGTCCATTTGGGATCTACACACTCGACATTCTTTTGAGTTCCCTAAGAGGCCCAAATGAGGTGTGCCATGGGGTTACATGCTGTGTACTTTCAGGTATGATTTACTACAAACCACAGTTGTTGCAGCCACAACCAGAGACAGCGGTAGCTGTGTTCTCCCGCCTTTCATACAGTAGCATTGTGGAGAGCGAGAGCAAGTGGGAGCAGAACTCTGCAAACCAGTAGTTCAGGAACATCTTGGGAGGGGGCACCCTGAGTTTTTTTTTAAGTCCATGCTCCCGGCAATGTTTGTTCATTTCATCCAGTGACTCTTTACAATCCTGGAAGCAGGGCCCAGAACACACATCTGCCCTCTCAGGCAAGTGCTACAGAACTAGGCTACAGTCATTCCTCTTCTTTTTGGTCCAGCATATCTTGCTCTTTTCTGTACAGCTTCAGCAAGAGTGGGAGAGTGTGTCCACACCCCAGGGCATCCAAGAGCCAAGTGCTTATGGCAGATTCCTTAGGTGCAAGAGACATAGAAGGAAACTGAACCCTGATTCTGGACAAGTGCTCTGGCCACTAGATTAGTGCATAAAAAACAGGCAGTTCCACTTCACCTGCTCAGGTTTAAAAGGAAAAATATTGAGCCCATTGTCTGTTTTAGAAACAGACCATGCAACTTCCACTGCAAAGCTGATACAGGGCAGTCAATTCCACTTCAAGAGCCCGATGTCTACAAGTTTTAGGCGTAGTGATGCCAAATCATTGCTGTGCCTCAGCCTCTCGGTGTAGTCACTTGCCTGCGGTCACAGAAAATGTTTGTATTAATGCAAGGAATTGAGCCTGAACGCCAGTCCTAGTGCTTTAACCACTGATAAGCTTGCACTCACCATTGTGCTTCAAAACAGTGTTGGTTCATCGAAGGTAAGGTTTTTTCTCCAATGTATGTGCACTGTTGGGCTATAATGTTGGCTATATACTTCACCCCTTCCCTCCAACTTAAAGCTGAAAGAATAGCTGATGTCATTTCCATTTTTTATTTGAATTCTGCAACTGTGCATCATACTTAGAGTGAAGCCATTGCTGTTAGTGCTCTCCATCTCTTTACATTTATGGAAATCCTAAGCATTTCTTAGAGGTCTGGAGACAGGAAACTAAAAAAAAGATATTTTCATTTGGTAAAACTGTTATTTTTCTGCAACTTTCTTATCAGATGAACATGTGATGCCCTTGGATCCAAGATGGAATATGCAATTATTGGATATTGTTAGAAATTCATTGAACTTTGATACTGAAGTGGAACACACAGATCAACTGTTTCTCCTTTTGCAGTCCATAGCAAACCGGTGCGTTCAAGAAAATGCCAAGCATTTCTTCCCAGGGGTTGGGGGTTAACCAACTCACAAAAAGCTTCCTTCCTGCCATAATCCCCCTTATGGTTATAGCTGATACTGTCTAAAATATTGTGGTTATTACCAGCTTTTCCTCCAAAAATGTTTTGTTTTTGGTTTTTTATTTTTGCTTTTATTTTATTGATTTCTGGTTAAAAGCTGGCTGGAGGCAGTCCCACTGGTAGTTACATAAGGAGGAAAGTCAGTGGTGTCTATGGTTTTGCCATCTTTTACTGCCAGTCCAACTGTTTTATAATATTTTAAATTTAGGGCAGTATTGTTTCTCAACCGAGAAGAAAGGAGCTACATTGAAAAGAACTTGATTGCTAGCAAGAAGACAAGAACCAGTGCTTTAAGAATGTCTCTGGATTTCCATAAAGGTAAGACTGATTATGTCAATTGTATATCATGCTTAATAAATAAATAAGATGGTTAGATTTGACAGGATTCTATTTAAAAAAGCTATTACCTCTAAACAATGCTTCTCTATGCAATCTTTTAATATGTGAGGGTCAAATGTATTAATGTAGATGAGAGCTACAGCAGCGTAAAATAACGTTCTGAGACTAGATGTGTAGTCTGTATTATAGATAAATATCTGCTGTACTGTTCTGTTAGAATATATCATGGATAGTATCTGTCTTTCCTAAATTTTATAGATGAGAGGAATTGCATGCTTGAAGTTGTGGATGTTATAAGTTTATTTAATGGTAGATAGGAGAGAAGTAAAGCTCCTTCAAATTCCCTTTTGTTTCATCATGTAAGTGGCAATGTGGTGTCATATCTATAAAATTTAAAAGGAAGGTTTTAATGACAAAGCACCACTTAGTGCATCTCAGAAGTTCTCTTTGCTGCGGTTGTGATATGTTTAAGTTATGCTTTTGCAGAAGAACAATAGGCAAGAACTATTTCAAAACTTGCACATTTGTCCTATAATCCAAAGACTGTTGTATTTCTGGATCACTGAGATGCTACTAGTAGTTGACTTGGTGGATAAATGAGAAGTAAAAAAATCTGCAAGTAAAGAAGAGATTGTATGTATGTTAAAGTAGAAAATATGGGGGTTATATGGCTTTGTTTTGTATATAAGAAAAACTTTTTGTTATAGTTTCAGTCCCTCCAATTGTATTAGTTTCTAACTTGAATATCATCTTAAAATTGGTTTTAACATGGCTAATAAAATGGCCTTTAACTTCTTCACATTTCTCTATCCACCTTTGGTCTTCCATATTTACTATATTTCCTATATTAACTAGGGAAGTACTGTGGAACGCCATAAATTCTGCAGGAATATTTTGACACTCAGTGCAAAACTAAAACATTTTCAAAGGTCACTACTCTCTATAAGGTATTTAAAAGATCAGAGCTGAACTTTGCATTATGTGAAATATTATAACCTTCTCTTTTTTCTCTTTTTTTAATTTTAATCTTTAAATCCAGAACCAGGGAGTTATAGTTCACTTCCACATGCTATTGTGGCCAGCCTTGCTGCTTTCTTCGAACTTTGGGATGCCTTCATGTTGCACTGGGTGAAGTCTTCACAGGTGACATTAACCGATGAAGATGTGCATGATGTGAGTAGAGGTGTTTTTGTTTGCTTTTTAAAATTATTCTTACTAGGGTACTTAGAATCCACAACTGTGGAGGAGATATGCTGTTCTTTAATTCTAGGACCTCTGAAGTACATAGTATGTGATTTATATAGTATTGGCTATAAAGAGCTTAACTGATCAGTAGCCCTATAGTAGATTCTGTGAGTTCATTATCTGCCTCTTTACTTCTATGTGAGATGTAGGTTTTCAGCATCCTAATCCTAACATTTCCCCTCACCTCAGTTAGAATGTTTGTGCTGAAATCTCCCACCATCACTAAAATCTCTCTCTTTCACCCTCCAGATCTCACTTCTATTTTGTGTCAAAATCACATTTCATGTCATCTGTAAGATGTACGTAATGCCATCCTTTTTGCACCTTTCTGTTCATTTCTTCCAAACACCATCTGTCTTGGTCTTTGCATAATCCACCCATTCTGCAACACTCTCATTTTTCCATGCCCTTCTTTATGTTTAAAATTCTCTCCCCCATGCTCATGCACCAAGCAGCTTCCCCTCCATTCATCCGCAGTCTACTTTGCAGCTACTTCTGTAATAGAGCCTTTCAGAGACAGTCCATGGGCATGTCTGCATGTTTTTAAAATTTGGTCTTCAGCTGGCTTGTTGTGTGAACTGTTCTGTTTGTGTCTAATTTAAGAAGAAAAATTCTTGGAACCATTCTGTACTTAATATTCTAGTCTGGATCCATTAATATTTTAAGGTCAGCATAGGTAGCCAGCTGAAATGAACCCTTCTAAGAATATTGTAAACTAACTGAATACAGGTAAATCAGCTGAAAAGAAATCTCTAAGAGTATAAATATTGCCTAATTATTAGATTAGCAGTATTGGCAACTTTAGTAGCACCCCCTGTTCCCTCAAGACAGACAGTAGCAAAGGTTCAGAGCTGGAAAAGTTGTAACCTTCCTGACTTGTCTTTAGGTCCTGTGCAGCTTGCAGTGGCGTGACCGGTTCTGGGCAGCATCTGACACTCTGATGGTGGATTCTGCTGGCTTGGCACTCCTCTCATTGCACTGGCACTGGGTTAGGAAGCATTTAATCGACAGAATTCCTCAGATGCTGATTGGATTGGAGCAACACAAGTAGGTAGTTTGGGTCTCGTGTAACATAATTGGCAATGTTGGTTCCTTTTATGTTACAAATGCACTTATGTTAAAGAGCTACATAAGTGTCTTTTCTTGAATGTTTAGTTGTACTCATACAGCCAGCTCAGTGTATTAACTGGAAGAGTGGGTTTTACATGTTAAGTTTCCAGACACTGCCATGTCCTTACAAATACAAAACCTAGTAACTTAATAACTTTCCCCAGCACCCATTCTTCAAAATCAGGCTTTGGTTTTTGCGGGGAGAGTGAGCGAAGAGGGGAAAAATGTCTTTTTTTTTCTTTTCATTGTGCATGCATTTGCCTTTGCCCTCTTGAACTTGTATGTAAACTTTTCGTCTTTCTTTTCCAAGGTTTTCCAGGGAAATTCAGTCTGTTGCACAGCAGATTCAGAGTTGCTTGAGTAATCCTGCTGGTATCTCTGGCAATGTAAAGAAGCTACAGAAGTCTTTGGGAAGGCCTCTTCCTTTCAAGGTACAGTGTTCTTTTTGCAGTACAATATTTTAGGCAGCTCTAGCAAGTGTATCCAGGTACTTCAGAACCATTGTTGCACTTTTATATTCATTTTCCAGGCAAGGAGATGGACACTGTTGGATATAAAAGACTGGTGAATACAAATGTTAACCTATTTGTAATGTAAATTTGTTTCTGAGATGTATCAGTTATTCAGAATAACAGTTCTGGCATTGTTGGGTTGTCCAGATCAGTAGTTCTCTAGAATAACTTAGTGGTGCTTTAGGATGGAGAATATTTCTACTCCATAGTAAATACAATATCTCTGAATTTTAGCATGGTCTCTGCTCACCAGAACAGACCAAGCAGGGCAAAAAATATCCAAATCCAGACTTGTGTGAGTTGTCACATTGTCCAGTAAACCAGTCTAGGGCTAAGAGATTTAAATGTTTAGTCTGTTATTTCTGAGTGTTTTGCATTATTTTTTTTCTGCATTTACCCTTTATAAAAAAAGGCTTGGAGCAAACATTTCAGAAGTGCCTACACCCTATTTTCAAAAGTGCCTGAAGTACTTAGGAGCCTAAATTTATTGAGAATGAATTAGGCTTATACTGCTGTAGACCAGATTTTTAAAGGTATGTAGACATCTAGGGAGATGGAAGCTCTTGGTTTCTATAGGTTCACTTTCACTAACCATTTCTTTGCATCTTGGGCCTCCACTACACGTTACATTTTAAGTTGTGATCCACCAGTGAACTTCACCTTAAGTTGTGACCCAGCTACAGGTTCAACCAATTAAGGGCATGACAAAACAAGCAACAAGCTACAAAATCATTCAACAAAAAATGTGTAATATTTTCTGTAGCTGATTCTAATCATGCCATTAACTAAACATGTGGCCAGGTCCTCCCCCTGTGGCTGGGAGCCCCTCAGTTGGTGCATTAGATCCCATGTCACCGTTACCTGCATGCGTAAAGGGGGTGATAGGCATCTAAAAAGCTACGTACCTAAGCCATTTTTGAAAATGGGACTTGAGCACCTTTACAGCATGGGAGTCTTTAAAAAGTTTAACCCAGGTTCTATTGAACTAAATGCTTCCAAACTACCTGCTCTGTTAGAGTCAGAGAGAAGTATGGCTGGAAGGGGCCTCGAGAGGTCAACACCTCTAGGGCTAGGCCAGCCTGAGGCAGGTTCATCATACTCTAAACATAAAACTACCCTCAGCCCTGACACAACAAGGACCTAACACCCTAATCTGCCACAGGTAATGCAGGGGAACCATGGCAGCCAGTTCTCTGCTTCTAAAAAATGTTGTCAGTATATGCTCAGGAGGTCCTGGGTAGAGGGCCACCTCTTCCCTTTTTCCCATCTTTGCTCCCCCCTCCCTCCCTGGACTACAGAAGAAGGCAAAAAGCCCCACAGTCCATATCAATCTATAGGGTAAAATTCTTTCCTATAGGGTCAGATCAAATACAGCAATTGTAATTGACCCTGAGTGGAAGGGCAAGACTCTCTAGCCTGGAACCTCCAACTTTGCTCCCGGCAGGAGAATCGGCACATCCCAGTTGAAGACCTCAGTCTTAGCTATAGCCAACATCCAGTGGCTCTGGGAAAGCTTAAAAACACCCTGACACATAGCAGAAAAAAAAGAGGGGGTGGGGGGAGAAGTGGATGACAGGAACAACCAGCAAAGCCCTGAAGCATGGGAAATACCCATGGTAGAAAATAGGCTTAGCTACGCCTACATCATTCCCAACCAGTGGGGCCACATCCACACAAGTTGAACATTTGGTTCCCCAGGGACAACTAGTGGTGGTATACCTCCTGCTACTGCTAGTTGTCTCTGGGGAACATCTGTGCCATGTGCACTCTGGCATGCAGTAGGTTACCCCAGGTGGGGTAGAGGCGGCTGGGGCCAGCACTGGGCTGGCTCCATCAGTCTGTCTTGGGACCTTCCGGTGCTGCGGGTGTGGCAATGTTGCCACTCAGAGCCTGGGCAGCAGCTGGAGCATGGCTCTGGTTTGGAGGTGCATGCTGCCCCCACCAGCACTGCTCTGCTTTTTTCTGTGGAGGTTTTTTTGACCCCTGGATACTCAGGGATCAACACCCTCACCTTCCCCCCCACCACCCCCAGGCACTGCTCCCTTGCAGCATGGAGAACAGGTGAACATGCAGTATGTGGTGCCACAGATGTCTGCGGTGCCACATACTGCATGGCCACACTCATTGGGGTGCAGCCTGGCTGTCCAGCCTTTTCTTGAACACCTCCACTGAGGGTGTCCACAAACTCCCTAGGCAGTCTATTCCACTTCCTTAGTGTTCTAACAGTGAAGAAGTGTTTCTACCTATCCAGTCTAAACTTATTTTGCTACAACACGCCATTGGTCCACATCTCCCTCTCTGCACCAAGAGAAAAAAGGCGCTTTCCCTCTTTTTTATGGCAACCCTTTGGGTATTTGAGGACTGCTGTTATGTCCCCACTTAAGTGCCTTTTCCACAAGCTGAACATGCCTAGCTTCTTCAGCCTCTCTTTGTATGACTTGTCTTTCAAGCCCTTGATCATCTTTGTTGCCTGCCTCTCTAACTTCTCCACATCCTTTTTAAAATGTGGCGCTCAGAACTACACACAATACACAGATGAGGCCTAACCCATGCCGAGTAGAAGCACTATCACCTCCCATGTCTTGCACCTAACGCTTCAATTGATGCAGCCCAAAATTGCATTCGCCGTCTGTGGCTAAATCACACTGCAGACTTGTATTGAGTCTGTGGTCTTTTAAGACTCCCAAGTCCCTTTCCATAGTGCTGTCATCCAGCCAGGTGTCCCCCATTTTGTATTTGTGTTTTTGATTATGCCTCCCAGTGTGGCATCTTGCATTTCCCCACATTGAACTTCTTCCTTGCTTTTAAATTTAGGTTGCATGCACAATAAGTTCATAGTACGTGTAGTCAGTAGACCTGGATTTCCAGCATGTGGGGTGTGAATAAATCATCTTCAGGCAACTGTACCTAGTCACCTAAGGGGCTGGGCTGTATAGATTCCTTTGTCCTGAGTTTCCCACCAAACAGCCTGTGAGACCAGCTGTGGGACCCTGGTCACTCCACTTGGGGATACTGCTGACTTTTAAAAGGATTAGTCTACCTCAAATAAGGCTTGGAACCAGGTGATGAGGTCAGAAAAGTTATGTAAGGGTCAGGTCACTTGGTCTGGGGGCTCTCTTCGTCTGGTGGGCTTTTGGAACAAAGCTGAAGCATCTTGCCTCCAAGTCCAGCTTGGATATATCTCTATGAAGTAAAAACTGGGAAATTAGTCAGGGGTTAGGATTTATGTCTAGGCAGATGTGTTGTAAAAGGATTATTGTATCCAATTTCTATAAGACTCGCATGATTATATTTGCTGAAGGTGTTTTCTCCTAACTTCCTCGTTCTACCCCTCCCCTCTTCCTCTAATTAATAAAAGTTTCAAGTACAGTGTACTGGGCTGTGAATTACTGGGGAGAGACTCGCCTTTTTCGCTCCCTCTGCTCGACTGGCTAAGGTGAGCTAGGGAATTTACTTCTCTCTGGTACAGGAGGCTAGCTTTGGATGCTTCAAGCTAAAAGAAGCATCCCAAAATATCACAGTGGTCTAAACACCCCCAAGATCTGCAGCATCTGTGTACCCTGGGCTGCATAGAGCCCTAACAGAGACCAAGGCCCGGGTGGTGGCACTGACTACCCCAGGCTTGCGGGTGTGCTCCAGAAAGGGGGTTGGCCAGACGTAGGCGCCCCAGGGGAGACACCTGAAGTGTGATTTTGATTGAGCACAGTGAGGTGGGTAGCTCAGCACAGTTGTGCCCCCTATTGGCTCACCACATGGAATGCTCCTATTAAAATTGCTTTCAGCTTTTATCAGGTGATCTCCCTCCCATTTTTTGTTTCTGAATGAAGTAGTAGTGCTAAACCATAACAACAAAGTAATACTGTTTCTTCAGTTGTGAATTTACAAGGTATGTTCTGCATACAGGCATGGGAATAGCATTCTTGGGGGAAGGAGGCTCAGTCTCTTCCCACTTCCATAAGCAGCTTCCTGATGACATACTGCAGGAGTCAGTAGGCTTTTTGTGGTGGTGGACTGGAATGACCTGGTTCAGGTTTGAGATGGACTTGGCACTAGGACTAAGCTGCTGCCACTGCCACTTCTCTCAGCTGCCTGGCCCTGGTACAGGTGAATTTTCCCCCACAGTAGCACAGTGCAGTGCATGTGAAAACCCCCGGCCACCCAACACCTTGGAACTCCCTGGCTCTGTGGGCTGTAGGTTGCTGACCTCTGACATATTGCATTATGAAACTGAGTTAATACAGAAAGTGTCAAGGTATACTTTCAAAGCAGAATGTGGGAAGAATTAGCAATGTAAATTAGCTAATATCAGTGCAAAGATGCATGACTAAATGCTTGTAAATGTGCTTTCATGCAGTTGTTACTGTGCAGCATGTGCTTGATGGTCATATTAAAACAAAATATTAACTCATTGTTAAAATTCAGCTTTAGCTTTCCAGTTGTGCAATCATTTGGTGGGATATCTTGATTTTGGTCTTCCGAGCATATTAAACATATGAGAGAGAGAGCATTTAGAGTTGGCTTTTTATTGTGCTCCCAGTGGCAAGGTATTTGCATATCAGGCACTGTAGTTGTATGTATGCTTCCTTAACTTGCACCTGAGCATTTAAACTGGTGCACAGATCTTGTTCCATAGAACCATAGAAATAAAAACTATGTTATTTGCTTAAAAATATGTATTTGTAATATTTGCAGAATAAGCTGGTGGTAGAGTCTTTTGCTCAGTTAAAAGTCCTCAGTAAACAACTCAGTGTCCTGGATCAGAGAGCTGCCTTTGGCAAAAGTAGATGGAAGGAAGAAATCTGTTGTCTGAAAATTGCTGCTACTGGATGGAAGATGAAGAAAGCACTGCTGCAGGCTCAGGGCCTGATTCTCAGAGCTAATCATGTAGAAGATGTTAATCCAGGTAAATAACTTCCCTTGTAGTACAGTCAAGCACAGCAGAAGTATGAGATCTTGTACTATCTTTATTCTTTTCATCCAGAAATATTTGTCTTATCCATTTACATTTCTGTGAATGACTAGTTTTTTCAGACTAGCTGTTGAAGTGTTCATTAATAAAAAATGTATTTATGTTTTTTATCTCCTTGCTGACAAATAGGTGAATTAAGGGATTTTGTGGACTTGCAGTATTCGCAGCTAAAAGCAGAAGGAATTAAGCTGGGTCCTACAGAAGAGATGCTTACTGAAGAGGTCCTTTCTACACACTCAGACCGTGACTTACTAACCCAGCTCTGTAGCAGAGTTCAGCTGTGGCCTACAATGGAGCATTTGGCACTGCTGTGGCAGTACAAGTTGACAGCAGACTGTATAAATACAGCTTGTCTCACAAGGTGAGGAAGAGGATAAACAAACCTCTTTTTTTCTTTTCATGCAATTTAAAATCTGTTTTATAAAGTTATGAGAATCAAGACATTGAAATGTTTTCTTTTGCCTGCACATAATACCACACTTGTAGGACCTAATGCCAGATGCCCATTAAAATATGCTTTCTAAAGAGTTATTTAAATTCAGGTCTAGTTTTTATTAGCTCTCTTCCCATCAGCTCTTGTACAAAAAATACAGGATTTTAAGTATCTGAATGCTTTGCTGTTTGAACATTCTGAAATAATTGCATTTAGTTTGTAGAGAGAAATATCTTGATACATAGCAGAATGGCTTCCAATAGCAGTACAATGAAGCCTGTGATTGTGGCAAATCTTACTAGACAGTTATGTTATTTGTCTTATAAAATAGACAGCCTTCAGTTCTTGGTGTTTTTTCAAGACTTTATGGTTGTATTGCTCAACTATTGCAAAGATATACAGTTGGAATTTGAGAAGTGAGAGAGGCACTCCAAAATAATATTATCCAAGGGAACATACATACTAGTGCAAATGTGTGCTAACGGAACGTAGGAAAAACTAAAAATATGTGTAATTAGATGGCCACTTGAATTAAGCATTCCCTTTGTTTTAAGTGGCCAGCTATTTTTGTGTTTCTGACTAATTACTTATTTGTTGGAGAAAATCAGCTCTTCATAAATACATTTCAGAGAAAAAGGGGGATATCGTTTAGATTCCTGAATAGTATATTTGAAAAGTTAAAATACTGGTGCAACCTGGATTTCAGGAATGCTGTTCTTTTTTTTTTTAATTTCCAAATATAAATCTCTAAAAGATTTTTAATCCAGAAATTGATGCTTCTAACATTTTGGAATTAGAAAATAATACGTTTTTCATTCATATATGAATTCAGATTCTTTCAGCTTCTTGGGCCTCGGGTCTGTTATATAATAAAGTGTTCCTTTTTTTCAGTCCCTGAAATATTGTGGTTTTAGCTTTCTAACCAGTCTCTTCTAGCTCTTGCAACTCTTCTTTGTATGTCATAGCTTGTTTTTATGGTACAAATGATTTCTTAGAGTGTCTTGCTAAAGTAAGTAAAGTTTAATTCCTGATTTTTCTTTTATTACAGGGAGAATTTCAATGAACAGAGAAACTTGCGTTCAGAGCTAGGTCAGTACATAGCTTTTTCCCTTAAACTGACACCAGCTGCATCTCATCGTCTCTATGGACTATGGCATTTGCTACATCTCGATAAGGTAAGAAAAAGTCTTGTAGTGTAAATTAGTGTTACATGCTTTTGAAACTGAAATTTCAAAGCTATATAGATATCTACAGCATACCAGAATGCAGTTTTGCTTCCTGCATCAACAATAATAGCTCCATGATACTTCATTAATTTTTATATAGTAGTGGATTAAACAAAAAAATATCAGCCTCCCCAAACCACCTAACAGCAGACTTCATAAAGCAAAGGCTCAAGCTTGGCATTAAAATATGTAGCCGTATGCGATTATTATTCGTCCATCATAATTGCATGCATCCACCACAGAATTAATGGAAGTCAATTAGCTAAATGGTCAATTAGCTAGTTATTGGTGCCCACCTCAGTTTCACTACAGAGTAAAACCACTGCTTTGTGTTATGTGAAGCTCTGGTATTCACTTACATGACTTCTGGATTTAGAAATCTTTTTTGTCAAATCAGTAGTCAGAGACCAGTCTCACACTTACGCGTTCTTATCTTGTGTACTAGATAAAGATCTCACAGAACTCCTGGCCAGTTCACATTCAGCTGTGACAAGCATATCTAGTGTCACTCCCCACCCCCACCCCCTTCTGTAAGATTCAGCACAGCAGCAAGTTCTGAACAAATACCTACAGTTGGAGTGTCAGTTTTTACCTGTTCTCTGGGCCTGTGCAGCTCTGCATGCCATTGTAAGTTTCACAGTTGTTGAATAGAGTCTCTGTATGACTAACTTGGCATCTGAGCTTCCATACACTGGGCATGTCTGCACGTGCAGTTAATACAACTCGATTTGAGCCGGAGTAAACTAAACCGGCTACATGTACATTTAAACTCAGTAATTTACTAGGGCATAGGATAGTACTTGTGGCTGATAGGACTATCCTACACCAAAGTAAATGAATCTACTGTGCACTAATTGCAGCCCATGTATAGACAGTGATGCTTAACTGCATGTTAAATTAGTCTAATGTGCAGTAAAACACACGTGTAGATGCACCCACTGAGAAAAGGCTCCTGAGGAAGAAGTGGAGGCTGATTGGTCCCTCTGGTCCGGTATGGTTGGAGATGAACTTTTTTATTTCAGAGGAGGGGCAGAGCATACTATTAAAGCTGAAGAAGAGTTAATAAATTGTATTAATGAAAGGAGTCCCTATCCCCATCAGAAAATATTTTTATGCTTTTATGCTAGTCAGTGATTTTTTTTTTTTTTCCTACTGATTTTTCTTTTACTGCCTGCAGATTAACCTTAGGAATTCTTAATTTCTCTTTCACTTCAGATATCCCTTGAGGAAATGTCTCTTCTGTGGTCAGAACTGGTTAATGCTGCATTAGCATCCTTCTGGAGCAGCACAGTAACTACAGATCCAGAGTACTGGTTCACCTGGACACTCTCGCCTGATGCAGAGGAAAGGAAATTTCCTAACTCTCTTATGGACCGTTCTGTGAAGGTGTGCCTTTTGTGACTTATCCAAGATCAAATATCTAGGCTAGGATAACGTTCTAGATGCATGTTTTTAAAACTCTAATGTAGAGAAGCCAGAAAATGAATTTGAATCTGTTAGCAAGACAGTAGAGCTGGTTATTGTTGGTGGTGGGGAGGGGTATGTGCACAAACCTGGAGGTGCTCTAACATTTGATT